TTTTTTTTTTTTCAAAACCACTTTAAGTATTGGCAACTTTATGAGTTATGTTTTAAATTTTTTTTGATAACTGTTGACTGCAGTTATCGAGCTGTAGCTGGTTGGATTTTGTCTTATTGGCAGAATCATTAGATCGTCAATCTTAAAACGAAACTCTTACGGTCAAGCAAGGACCGACAGTGTAGCTACAACTATTTACTGACGGCTAACCAGAAGTTAAGATGACTTTTTAGGTTGCATGTTTAACTGCTTATGCTTCTTTAGCGACTTCCATTCACTAAGCAAAAAACGGTTTTGCTGACTCTTTTTCTGTGTCTTTTTGTTATTTGACAGACATTTTTTTTCTTTTTTGCTCTTTATCAGTAAACTTTTTGAAGTTGCATGGCTGTTAAAACTGCACATTTTTTTTTCTACAATTTGATGTTATTAATGTTGTTTTTTTTTAATTAAAAATTTCTGACAGCTGCAGAAACAATAGATTATGCCGTGTAAACGTTCTTTTTTTTTTGTTGTTACGTTTCATTAATAAGGCTATTTTACTTTTTGTATCTGAAGCGAATTTTATTATTGCCTTCAAAATGGAAAAGCTTATAGTGTCAATTGTTTTTGGTGTAACTAATTGCCATCTGTTTGTTTTTTTTCCGCTTTTTTTTGCAGCAGCAGTGGTTGATGGATATAGTTTTACTATGACAATCACTTCACCACATTATATTATTGTATATCCCTGAATTTCTGGTCATTTTTTTTTTGTATTGTCATAATCGTGCAAAATGATTTCTTAGTAATAACTCGTTGCTCTTTCTCTCCATTTTGGACAAAGTTTATAGCGAACTTTTAGGCAATTTTTTGCTTAATTCACTGCTGCATATACACTATTAACTTGCCATCAATGGCACGTTCTGAGAGCGACTGTGTGCCTCGGTATTGTCTTAAATTTTTTTTTTGATTGTATTGACTGGATTCGTACAATGCAAAAACGCTCTACTCTTATTATGTCGAACATATCTCGATTTCTCACCACGTATAGATGGGGTGTTTTTTAAAATAATCTTTAATTTTAAACATATGCGTCATCCGCATTTGCTGTACAGTTCATGCAAATTTTGTAAAAAACTAATGCTCGTAACAATATTTGATTTTTTCACTTTTTTTTTTCTCTTTTGATAACAAAGATCTTCGCTTGAATCTTATGAGAAAAACAAACTGTACTAAAAAGCGGCTTTTTTTATCTGTTTATCAGATTAACAAAGTTAATACTTTAAAAAAAGGTAGAGACTAGTTCATATTGAATGCTTTTCAGTAACTGAAAGTTTACTTCGAACAAAGATCATCACCGGCATAAGCAATCGTTCATTTAGCTGAGATACTGTAACCAAAAATATCACAACTTTCTAAATATTTCTTGCCTGAAGCCATAAAATTTATGCAGCACTATAGCTGCAATTTAATACCGTATCTGCATTGAATTATTGATGCTTAATCTGATTTAAACCAAATAAATTTACAAATTTCC